GCTTTCAATACACATTTTATTAAATAAATTAATGGAGAAAATTTTCTAAGAAATGTGTTTCAGAATATCAGCTCAGTTAGGATGCTTTTGATATAACAAATACAAAATACAATACAAATTAGTTTTTGAGGGAAGAAAACAATGGAATGATCCACTGGATCTGGTTTCAAGTGAGGCTTGATCTAGGCCTCACATAAGGACCTGATTCTCAATCTTCATTCCTCAACTGTACTCCCTCAGTGTAGAATCTGTTTTCAGGGAGGTTTTGTTTATTATTCAATGTTTGGTGTGAGAAGCAGAAATCACTGTATGATAAGCAGAAAGATAAAGTAGGAAATTAATACTTCCATAGTTGTTGGAAGGATTGATCATAATGGAAACCAGAAGAGACTTACCTTCCACTGTGGCTGCGATCCCAAACACAGGACCCTTCCATTTCCAGTGCGGGTTTCTCTACTGCCACCATAGAAATCTAATACCCTTAGAATRCTAACAAGGGTATGAGGAGTTTAGGTCTTACAAAAGCCCCTGAGTGTCAGAGCTTACTCGTTTATCCTGCCGCAGAAGGATAGCTTTATTCTCCCTTCCATCTCCCATAACTTACATTGCYGTTCATCCATCATTGGCAGGTCTCAACTTATATGCAAAACTTTAACTCCACAGAAATATGGAAATAATTGCTTAAACTTCCATATATTATATTTCAGGAGATGAAGAGACATTGAAGGGAGTGAGAATAGAAGCTTAAGAAATTAATAATATCTGGTACAGTACACCCCTTCTAACAATAAAATACACCCCTTCTTTCAATCAAATAACAAAATCGCCTCTCTGATCAATCATTTTCTCCTTTGAATGAAAACATGCCCACCCCATCCCTTAAATCCTTATACCCATTCCTATGTGTTGTTCCTTCACCTTCTATTTTAGTCACAATCCATCTTAAGACATTCTAAATTAAAGACTATCTTATAAAATCAGCCATCAACAATAAATATTATATAAAATGAAACAGAGAAGCAAAAGAGATTCATTAACATATATAAAAACAAAGGAGAAAACTTGCATAGCTTCTGTGATTCTTTATTCTTTGCTCATAAGATCATAGTTGGTGTTTATAGCTTCCTGTTCCATGTTCCTTTTGCCCTCAGAGTACTTCCCTGCTGATAGAGTGATATTAAGCTTCAATCCTGAAGGGTCTGAACCCATAGAAGTCCCACCTGTGATGGACAGGGGTAGTTTCCATTAACATTTATCACTAAACATGGAATTCCCATGAGGAACCCCAGAGGAAGCCCTCAGTTGAAGACATACACTTCTACTGTGGCTCTCTCATCTCTCTCAGCGGTGGCTGTTAATTCAGGGAAGAAACCTGACAAGGGGTGATGGGAAATGAAGAGAAGGGCCAGGTGGGCAGCCAGACTCTAATGGAGTTTGACCCAGYGCTAGCTCAGCATTTTATTATATAGGTTTCGTCATCAAAAGGTTATTTGTGGGAAAGTTTCAGCGAAGCAGGCAAATTGAAGGACAYAGAACTGATGAGACATTAGGGTCATCTTGTTATGCTTCTCTGTCCCTGGGAGTTGGTGCCTGATAACTGCTGCATGCCTTTGCACAGAAACTCATCGGGTCGGCATCAACATAGCAACTGGTCCTTCTTGAYCTGCACCTTTGCACAGGCAGTTCGAGTGCAAACATGGCTACGAAAGAATCAGAAAGACCATGATTGAAATCATTGCTCTCCACACACTTCCTTGACCCCCTTGTGTAGCTGCAACACTATATGCCCTTGGTAAGTGGTGTCAATCATCCCTCCAGTTCAGCATCCCACCACCCCTTATTTTCTTGAAGAATGACAGCATGAGAAACCTGCAATGTCTGAATACATTTCAAGTTCTCCTTCAAGGAACTATGTAACCCTGGTGGAAGAGAGCTCAAGGACATGGAAGCAGAGGCACTCATTTTGCACTTTGTGATTAGGTGTAATTGTGGTAGATAACCTTCTACTTCTATTGTTTCCTGGGGCCATGCATCCTAGCCAGGAAGGAGCAGCAAGTAGGTTTAGAGTATGTATTACACCTGAAGGACAAAATACCTCCAACTTGCTAAGTGTTGTCTCCTACCTTGAGCTGTAACTGCGTCTTCAACACTCCATACTACTCTCCTATAAGGCTAGCTGCACTGGGGCAACAGAACTCATAGAAAACCCATTGAATCCCATAGTAGTCAGTATACGGCCTCACTGCTTTTTTTTTTTTAAAGGTCTCCTTAGTGAGAGATACTATGAAGGTGAACAAGGCATTAACAATGTCCACAAAGATGTGCTGGCAGAGACATGGCTGAAAGGAAAAGCAAACTGAATAAACTGAATAAATGTTTACTCCAAAGAATACGGGGAATAATGTTTTACTCCAAAGAGGAAAAATTCCCTGCCCCCTCCATAATGAGAGGGCCCTGGTGTAACCAGTCTGCCACCAAATAGTTGGCTGGTCTCCCTTGGAGTGTGGAGTATTGTGATCCACACTGAGGGCTCAGTGTAGGTCTTTGCATATGGTGTTCAGAAGCCACAGTAGCTTTGATGAGAAGTCCGTCTTGACAAACTCACATTTCTGCTGCTGGTTAAGAGCCCCAGAGAGGCTGGGGCTGTATGTAGCTCAGTGGTAGAGTGCCTGCCTTGCACGTGTAAGGCACTGGGATGGATCCTCAGCACCACATAAAAATAAATAAAGATATTGTGTCCATCTACAATTTAAAAATATAAAAAAGAATAGTTTTTTTTTTTTAAGAGCCCAGGAGTAGCTGGGGGGAAGACAGAAAAGTCTTGCTTACCTCCTTCCAAAAGCTTGTTTAGCGGAGGGTGCCTTTGGTGAACATTCACACACACACACAAAAACAAAAACAAAAACAAAACCAACATACTCATACTTTGTCCAATTCCAAGATGGTTCACCCTCATCATTTTCCCCAGACCCCCCTTTCACCAGCTCTCTGATTTCATTCCTTCCAAATCTCTGAACATCACCTAAACAGCTGGCCATGGATCTGTACAAGTTACAGAGGAAGGATGCTTGAATCTTCTTGGAGGACAAGGTTAGGGAGTGAGTGCTCAGGTTGAGCATTAATCCACTCTGATATTCTTGACTTCCTGAGTATTTCTGATTTCTTYATCTGCATAATTTGGCATTACAATTTCTTTTAATGTGGGCTACCATTAAGCTCTGGTTGCAGTAAACCAACTTGAGCAAACTTTTAAAACCATCCCCAGTGCTGGAGCTAGCACATTGACTTCCTTCATGTTGTCTTTTCCTGGGTTTCTAATAAAAATTAAATAATAAATAATAAAAATTAGYGAAATTATTCTGTTGTATAAACTGTCTCCTCTCCAACAGATCTTTTCCTTATCCTTTTGGGTCATGGTAGCGTTTGATTCTAGTTCTAGGAGTGAAGGCAGAAGTAGGGATGGTGCATTTGAAGAGTCAGCACCTCCTTACAAAGTGACTACCATGGATTCTTCAAACCAGGCTGTGCCAGCCTGATCACTATGCTGGAAGGCCTGCAGAGACTGCACATTGTGGGAGGGCCATACTACTAGGATTCATTCAATCTACTCAAATTCCCAGGGCGTCATTCTTTCCCAATACATACACTTCAGGTTCACTTAAGAGACTATATGAGGCTCCACATTAAATTAATATTGTAATTCTGCTACCTGCAGCAATAGACTCTGCACCTGATTTTTGCGACATTAGTTCTGGATCTATATGAAATAGGAGGTTCTTCTGGAAAAGTCACAATAGCTTGTATCCTGTGATCATGCTTGAGATTATGATTTTTATTTCTTAAAGTTCCCTTGGGGGAAGTGCTGGGGAGTGATATTGCCCAAAATATATTGTAATATTGTGGGCATGTATGAATATGTAACAATAAATCCCATTGTAATGTATAACTGTAATGCACCAATAAAAAATGCAGAAAGGAAAAAAAAGTTATCTTGGGCAGTTCAGGGCCTCAGAATATCAGAAAACTTGTCCCTGCTGCTGCCAGTGATGTTGTCACACCCATCACACACAAGCTGATGAACAGACTCCTGCAAACACCCACCACCATCAGAGAGCTTCTTTTTTGTCATCCTGAAATGCTACAGAAAGATGGCTCTCTCTCTCATCTACCTTCTTTTTTTAATATTTATTTTTAGTTATAACAATATATTTATTTTATTTTTATTTGGTGCTAAGGATCGAACCCAGGGCCTCATGCATGGTAGGTGAGCATTCTACCTCTGAGCCACAACCCCAGCCCTCTCTCATCTACCTTCTAAACCTCCCACTAGAACTTCACATTTAGGGAGCTTAAACCCTGCTAAGGACTTAAGCCATAAGAAAAGTGTAGATTTCAGTTGCTGATACCCTGTAACAGAGAGGCAAGTGGATGGACAGCACAGTATATAATGTGCATTTGAGACCTATCTTGGGATCTCCCTGTCTCTTCCTAGCTAAGACACTGAGTGCAGACTCAGACTCCTGGTTCTAATTCTAGCCCTCCTTCTTACTGGCTAACTTCCCTGTGCCTCAGACACATTTCCTCAACTGTTCRATGGGAGTAGTAAGGGCACTTGGCTTGGGGTCCTGGTGTGAGGATATGTGCACCAGTGTTTGACACAAGGTAAATCCTCAACACCCTTTAAGCGGTGTCAAGGAGCGAGTGTGACTCTAAGAAAGTCACAGTCTATAGTGTGGACGAGGAAGAGGGATACTTCGATGGCTACAGGCCTGAGCTTGAACTGAATCCTGGCTTTGCCACCTACCAGAGTTAKGACCCAGAGTGAGTTACTCAATTTCTCCTATTGTAAACTGGATCCCATACTATCCACCTCCCTGGCCCCATCTCAAAGGTTGGTTTTTTAAAGAGTAAACWGGACCATCCATCCCAGAGCCCAGGGAGCGTAGGGCACGCCTCGGGTGCTGCAGCACCTGGGGCCAGGAATCTGCCCGAAGCCCGGGAGGGTGCGGGGCGCCGCAGCAGCAGACCCGGGTTCCAAGCCCGCCCCGCGATGCTCCGCGCACGCTCGGGACCGAGGTCCGTGGTCAGACCCCCTGCAGCCGCTGTGCGCTTGTGCGAGGGCTGACAGCGCTGAAGGCGGAGTCCGCCTGGGAAAAAGAAACCGATAGTCGATGGCCGGGAAACGGGCGGGCTGCGCCTGACTGCGGCGGCGCGGGGCAGCGCGCCGGCGGGCAGACCGAGGTCCAGTCGGGGCGCGGGTACGAGCCCGGGACCCGGAGCGGCTGGAGTCCTGCAGCCTGCGTGCGGGGACCCCACCCGGATCTGGAGAAAGGATCGTGGGACGCAGCGGGACCCAGAGGCCGTTTCCTTCCCGCGAAGAATATCAGAGAAGGTAAGAGACCTCTCCCTGGCAGCGGATGTCGGGGGTGGAGTGGAGGGGATCGGGTGGAAAACCGACTGGCCCCATGACCCCAGGACAGCTGGGCAGTTTGGAGTCCTGGATTACCTACAGGTTGGCGAAATAATCGCTGGCTAAATAGCTCCTGCTTGGAGAGTTGCAATGATTTCCCAAATTGCCCCGCAACAGCCCGCTCTGCCCCACTCCCGGCACAACGCAGCAAGCGAGTGTTCCCTAAGTCACAAGGCCACACTCACCTRCTCTGGCCCAGTCCGTCTCCTCAGAACCCGGTAATCAAGGCCCCAAGGCAAGGCCCCTCAGGTGCCCCTTTCTAGCTACACTGACTTCCTTGCTGTTTCAGTTTCTTTTTCCTGAAAAGYTCTTCCCACAAGATACTTGCATGGGCCAGTTCCTTGCTTTATCTTACCTTCTTCCAGTACCAGCTTCACCAGGCGACCCTCTAGAAACAGCTTGTGTATAAGAGAGACGTCACTCCACCCGGGCTGCCCCCTCCAGTTTTCAATATAGTGCTTACCAACCTGCGACTTAAAAAAAAAAAATAAAAAGATGGGTTTGTCTGTCATTTTTCCACTAGGAAATTCACAAGAGCAGATTTTATTCACGGCTCTGACCCCAGCACATAGTATAGAATACGTGCTTATTCAATGTTACTTGAATGGTGATTCGTAAATTCTCGGTTGAATTCCAGAATCAGGAAACTTCATAT